CAGATGAGGATCCACAAGCGCCTCATTGACCTGCACAGCCCTTCCGAGATCGTCAAGCAGATCACTTCCATCAGCATCGAGCCCGGGGTCGAGGTGGAAGTCACCATTGCAGATGCTTGAGCCAGCGGCTCTAATAAATTGATAATCGGCCGTTAAGCTTCGTGGGCTCTCATTCCTGACCCTGACGGGCCTTAGGGAGGGAGTCGTACTCCGGAATTCATTGCACCTTGTAGCAGGGTGACGAGAAGTAGGTGGGTAGCCTGGGTTCCGCTCTTCCTCGTTGCATCTTGCAGGGCCCACTGAGTCAGTTTGCACGTGACGTTTGAACGCTGAACTGCATTAGCTACAGAACGTGTGAGACCTTGCGTTGGAGGTGAGTACGCACAGCTCTGGCCGCCTGTGGGAGCCCTTCCCAGGAACACGTGTCTGCGTTCTACTCTGGGAGACCTGACTTGATAGATACGGGGTACTGTCAAAAGTTTCTGGGGCGACTCTCGCGTGTACAGCCATGGTTAAGAGCCTGACGCACTGGAGGACAAGTAGCTCGGGGAAGGTAACACCTTAGGTTTCCAGCCCCGGCTCTGCCCGGTGGTCATGGCTCCTTTTAAACTTGGCAGATTTCGAAATGTTTTTGAAACTTTGTTAATTTTATAGACGCCGGTGCCTTGATATTTTAGATTAGAATAGAAACGATCCCAGTGCTTAGATTAATGTTAGGTTACATCTGTAGACGAGCTTTACATAATCTTCCTGGAATTATTTTTCACTGAATGTATGTAGGTCGTCCAGTAGGAGGCTACATTAACGTGTAGTTTGCACATAGACATTAGCTTCATAAATTTACGTCAGCCTTAGGCCTGAAAAGCACATCGCATAGGTCACGTTCTGTTTATTCAGGCCCCCGTTGGCACAGTAGCGGATGACACTGCTTAACTACCGGGCTCTGCTTACGTGTTACATCTTCTTGAATGTTCCCATTGTGTAGATATAGGAACTGGTTTTGAGATTAAACTTGCCCGGCGTCCTAGGCTTAACAGCATAGCTGAGATTTCAGTGGGCCCATGGGTTGAGAATCCATCTTGATGTCCCATTAAAAGTATTAAATTTTTGCTATTAGTTTATAATCCGATGGATTTACTAAATACGTGTTTTTCTGTTAGAGAAAATTTCAAGAAGTATCTCTGACAAGTATATAAGCATTTTACAAATGATAAAATTCTCCTCAGAAAATGTCCTCCCATTTGCTACTCTTAGTAGAATCACAGTAATGAGATTCCCGCCTTTCCTCTGGGCTGGGGTCTAGTCCACTTTGGACTGCCTTGTCCACTGGCTTCAGTTACCATCTGTGCAGTGTTCAGATTTCTGTATACATCCGGCTGTGTGCCACGCACCAGCACCTCAGCGCCCACAGACCCTCCTGTTCTGTCTTCTCTCCCAGTGCCTGGCCACCACGCGCCACACAGCCGCTCAGAATGGCTCTTCTCATCCCTTAACCCTCCCCCTGCTGTTCTTTCCAACGTCCAGGTCCTTTTGATTCTAATTTTTTCTCTTAGCAGGTCTCCACAAAATATGGGATTTTGAAAAGGGATTTCAGTGGCGCAGAACCTGGGAAGAACTATGCTAAGGTTAACCATTTGTAACAGCATTAAGCCAGATCATCAACTTTTATTAAACTAATTAGCTTGGGGAAACAGGAAGAATTGAAGTTTCATTGTAACTGTTCTATAGACATTGGGCTGTAAAGACTTCAGTAAGAGTTAGACAGGAGCCTGGTTCGGTTCCTGAGCCCAGCGGCGATCCATTCTCCTTTCCTAGAGAAGCTGGTGTTCTCAGTTTAACTCTAGAAGTTGGGAAGAAAATAATCAGCCTGGCAGCGAAACTACTAACTTGTCCTCTAGCCCAATTTTCAGGATTCTTTGCACTAGAAGTGCAAAGAGAGCTGTTATGGTAGTGGTTGAGATCATTTTAACATTCAAGTACCTGGTAATGTGTAGCCCCAGATGGAAATTCCAGCAAGCTTGTTTCAGTACTCTTAAGTGTATTGCAACTCAGAAGTCTTTGGAATATGTGATCAATATCCTGAGAACTGGTTGTAAAAAGATCTCAGTTCTGTGAAAACTAAGCTACTTACGGCTAAAGAGTAGATTATTGTGCAAAATGTGCCATCATTAAGTCAGAAGGTATTGAAAGAACAGCCTAAAGGCTTTCATACAGTTCTGGAGTTTAGCCGATGGCATGCCAAAGTGACTGATGCTTCACAAATTGTAATTTATCACACTCAAATAGTTGGAGTTGTATTTAAGCTGTAAGCAATACTTAGGGCCTTTAATACAGCTAAAATACGGCACTTAAGATTTGGGGAACTATTATCTTCAATCCCTTAAACACTCAAAATGCCTGCTTGGAAATAAAACCCCTACAGGGCCTTTGAGTGTTACTAGTAGCAAACCAAAGTAAAGGTAGTTTACATAGTGGCGACAATGCCAGTGATTCTGTGTCGTAGGCCAGCTTGTATGGGTTAGGGAGGGAGAGGAAGGTTGAAAATGGGAGGCCTCTGCGGTCCTTACCTCATTCCCTTTAGGGTCACAGAGTACTTCTCTTCTAGACATGGTGGCTACACGAAACGTGGCAGGAACATAAGGCTGTGCGTTGCTAGATCAGATTTTTTCACCTGACATCCCTAAGTATGTATGTTCAGGATCTGGGATGTCAAGTGAATGGGCAGGAGTGTAGAATTCTTGGCCATGCTGTCAAATCTGTTCCAAACGTAATTGCCTGGATATGTGAGCTTGATAAGGTACCTCTTGGAGCCTCAGTTATCATGTGCAAAATGAAGGTACTTGTATCTGTCTCGAGGGCGTGTTGGGTGTTCCTTTGTCTCTCTGGGAGACATTTTCCAAAAAAACGAAGACTGGTTTGCCAAGTGCATAGATTTCTCCCACGGGGACCTTGATTCCCCCGGGATATGTGGTACACTGCTGACAGTGGTATTGGTCATATTACTTACAAGGGCATTTTGAGAAGTGTACTTGAATCCCCAGGGGCCTGGCCTTTCTGACTGCATCCTTCTTCACCAAAAAAGTGACTAAGCTGGTCTAACTCTACCGGAGAACCTGGCAGCGCCAAAATTTCAGCCTTTTGAAAGTAAGGAGCTAAGTCAGTTCTTAACTTCCTTCATTCTCTGAACAGTATATTTCACTTTCTTAGCAAATTAAACTTGCAGAATGAAAGAACTTGATCCTTCTGTACATTCTGTCCTATAAAGTGCTTTTCTTTATATAGAACCCATCCCAAAAGGTATTGTTAATACTATATTCAGAACTTTTCACGTGAATATAGTGTATGTGATTTTTATCTATCTCCTCTTAGCTATATAAAATCTATATCTCCTTTTTAAGAATACAAATGAGAATACTGAACATTCTGTAAATTATTTTTGTCTTTATGTATCTGGGATGTGTTTCTATATCTGCACATACCTCATTTCTTTCAGTGAGTACTGCATTGTGTGAGTGCACCTTATTCATTTAACTGCACTCTTGATGGACTTAATAGACACTTCCCGCTTTTTTGCTATTAAAAGCACTTCAGTAAATACATTTTTAATATTTGTTCACTTGTACAACTATGTAAGATACGTTCCTGGAAGTTGAATTTCTGAATTTTGATTGAATTGTAGATATTTATATATAGTGGTTGATATAAAAGAATTAGAAAGTCAGGTATTAAAGAACATTTACTGTGGGTGTGTATATGAATGTTTTTCTAGGTTAGATAAAAGAAACTTTAAGATACTATCAAATGGATGCCCTCAAATGACTGCCCATTTATATTCCTACCAGTAGTGGAAATGCAGTGATGTCCATCTGCTGGACAAAGACAATCTCATTATTTTAGCTTTGCCCTCCATTTGTTTACTTTCTCTTTCTGAGGCTCCTATTGATTGGATAACCCTTCTGGAGGTCCTGTGTGTCGCTTTCTTTCATATGCTCTTTTAGTCTTTTATTGTGTGGGACATTTCTTGGACTTTCTCACCTAGCACTTTCATTGATTTTTTTCATGTTGTCAATTTTTTAAAAAAAATTCCCTTATTCTGGAAAATTTCAAACGTATGCAGAAGTAGAGGGAATGGTATAATGAACCCAGCTTTAAGAATTGTCAGCTGATGCCAGTCTTATTTCACGTATAACTCCATCCTCTCCCCCAATCAACCCTCAAATTATTTTGAACTTAATCCCAGACATATTTTTGATGCACATTTATTTTTCAGTGTATTCACTTCGAAAACATAAGGACTCTTCTTTTTTTTTTTTTTTAACGGTTCAGTAGTGTTGAGCATATTCCCATTGCTGCAAAAGCTTTCCAGAACTTTCCACCTTGCAAAACTGGCATTTTATACCCAGTAAACAACTGCCCGTTTTCCCCTCCCCCTAGCCCTGACAACCACCATTCTAATTTTTGTGTTTCCGACTTCATGTAAGTGGAATCCTGCAAAATGTCCTTTAGGTTCATCCCTGTGCCATGAGATTTTTTTCTTTTTTTAAGGCTAATAATTCCATTGCACACATATATATATATACACATACATACACCACATTTCTTTATCCATTTATCCCTCGATGGACATTTGGCTTGCTTCCACCTCTTGACTTGTGAATAATGCTGCAGTGAACACAGGAGTACTAATATCTCTTCAAGATCATTTCAGGTCTTGGATATATACCCAGGAGTGGGATTGCTGGATCATAAGGTATAATGTATTTTTTTATTTTTTGAGAAACCTTAATGTTTTCCTTAGTGGCTGTACCATTTTACATTCCCACGAAGGGTTCCAGTATCTCCACATCGTCATCAGCACTTATTTTCTGGTTTTTATTTTTGTTTGTTTTTTTTTGTTTTTGCAGTACACGGGCCTCTCACTGTTGTGGCCTCTCCTGCTGCGGAGCACAGGCTCCGGACGCGCAGGCTCAGTGGCCATGGCTCACGGGCCCAGCCGCTCCGCCGCATGTGGGATCCTCCTGGACCGGGGCACAAACCCGTGTCCCCCGCATCGGCAGGCGGACTCTCAACCACTGCGCCGCCAGGGAAGCCCTATCTGTGCTCCCTTTTAGCTCATCGACCACCCTTTACTATTTTGAATTATCTGGTAATTCATGGATCTCTCCTTCTCTGGGGTTGGCTTCTGGAGACTTATTCTGACCAGGTGGTTGGGCTGTGTTTCCCTTTTCTTTGTATGCCATGTAATCTTTTATTGGGAATTGGGCATTTGGAAAAACAGCCACCTCTCCCAGTCTCTGGACTGGCCTTGTATGGGGGAAGTCATCTCAGCTAGAGATTTGGGGGACCTTTCAACCCTTTTCTGGGGATGCATCTTTTCTGGGCTTGTGTGTATGATTTCCTAGTTAGACTTGCCACTGTTTTCTTCTCAGGAGCCTGCAGTCTCTTACTCCCTCTGGTGTCTGTCTGTGGTACTGCATTCCCCACGGTATAACTTGGACAGAACATGACTGTTCTCAAGGGCCCCCCAACCTGGCATCCCTCCCATCAGTGTCCTGAGTCAGAGAGACAGAAACTAGTCTCTTAGGCAGCCCCTCAAAAAGCCAAAACTTTGGACTCATGTGTCACTCTTTTTTTTCCCTCCCAGGAGAGAAGCTGGGAGTTTTCTGGTCTTCTGTCCTCACTGGGGGAGTGGGAGGGACTAGGGCAGGCGAAATGCGAGGAATGTTCTTACATCCTGTGTGGCTCTTCTTGGCTTCGTGCTCACCTGGTGCTGCAGCCTCTTCCCTGGATTCTGGAGTTCTCACAAGGACACTGGTCTGTGTATCCCTGCTATGTCGTTGTCTCTGATTGGGAATGAGGGTCTGGAGCTTCTATTCCTCTGTCTCGCTGACGTCACCCTACGGACTCTTGCTGAAATATAATCAAATATCATTGTTACCACTAAAAATAGCAGTAATCTCAGTATCCTTAAATATCCAGTAGTAGTCAAATTTCCTTGAATGGTTTTATTGCGTATTTATTTGAATAGGGATCTAACTGATTGATGTGTTTCTCAAATTTCTTTCAATCTAGTGGTTCCCCTTCCATCTAAGAAATCATTTAAATACACACAGGCCTCATTTTGCATGGGACCAGAGAAAATAAACACGCAAGCTGAAAACATGCAAAATGGTCCTAATAATCAATAGGAAAAAAATATGATTGTTCTGTGCCTGTAAAATTTTACAAAATATTAAGTCTTTTGCTTTCAGTTATAACTGTAAAGGAAAATGTAAAATAGTAGAACTTATATTTAATATACTGTCATCTGAAATATTAGTAATATTGAGAATTAAAATATTCTGTGTCTTTGTTAAAAAAGAAAAAAGCAAAAAACAAAAACCCAAACTTAATCAATAGTAATTTGAACAGTGCTTGTCTTCTCATCACATAACTTACAAGCATTTTTTTCTATGCCTTGGTGAGTTGTCATATTTCTAACTTTGGTTATGAAATATTTCTGGATTCTTTTTAATGTGTAGCTTTTTAATGGTATCCCTCCTCTGGAACATCATCGTCCTTCTCATCACAACAGCTTTCCTTATTCATCTCAGTAAGTCTGTCTTCACTAAGTCCCTTTGGCTGCATCTCTGAGCCTCTCAGTGTTGCACTGTCAACACGCCCATGGTCCACTGTTTGTTCCATAACCCCATTTACATTTGATTCAAACTTCACTTCCATCGTTCTCACACTTCGTTTCTTTGCTGTGCTTTTGTCTTTGTTGGCCAGTTTCCTGTTCTAGCTCTCCATTTTTGTAAAATGTCACATGGGTTTATTGCTGGGAGACACAGCAGCAACACAACTACATGCTTTGTTGTCTTTGCTGCCTCTGTGAAGATTGAGTAACACATGCTTGGTGACCAATCACTAGACTTTGAAAGAAATGACATTCTATGTGTGTGTGTTATTTACTCGGTGAATTGTGGACTGAAGAGCTAGCCACAGAGTTTATCCTCTGTGCAGTTATTCACAAATGATATACTGTAGTAGCTGTTAACAGGAACTGTGTTCGTGGGGACGGGTGGTGTCTCCCTCAACGGTGATAAGCAAAGCTCGTGCTTGCCAGAACCTTGCAAAGCCAAGGCAGCCTGCACTTGTCTTAGAAGCATCTCTTATTTCTTGGGGTCAGTTATCTATTTACTTTGGCTTTTCCTTTTGAAACTATGGGGATCTTTGTTTTCTTTTATTCGTAATTAAGAATTATAATTAAACTTTTCTTTCTGGTACTGGTCTGGATTTTCCCTCATATGTAGATGGACCTGGTTCTCTGATATGCCTTTCTTCACCATTAGAAGGATTTCCATGGACTGGAATTCCCAGTAGGGTCCACCTATAGGGAGTCAACTGCTATACTGGGGACCCTCACAACAGACACCCCTTAAGTGAAGAGCAACAGTTGGTCACACTTGATACTTTATCTTTTCCCAGGCGTCACTCAACTTACAGATTCTTCCTCATCCAGGACACACCTCGTTAGCAAGAGAGGTGGAGTAACGTGGTGTGGGGTAGAGGCTCCTAAGCAAGGCTGTCTGTCCTCAAAAATTGCCTCTGTTCTTTTCTAGCTGAGGCTGTGAGTTATTTATACTTCTGTATCTTAACTTTTCTCATCAATAAAATAACAGTAGTAGAAAATGCCTCATGGAATTGTTTGAAAATGAAAATACGTAGGACAGTGGTTGGCACAGAGTAAGAGCTGTTTAAGTGTTTGAAAATGAATAGCTTTGAATTTCAAGAAATGAAATGGATCTGAAAATAGGCCCCTTTAATTTCTTGTCTCCACATCTGGAACAGTTCCCTGAATACAAGGAGGTTTAAGAAATTTTTTTTCCTGATTAAAAATCAACTAGGTTCCGTGGTGACTGCTTTTGCATTTAAGTAGGTGGTTAATAGGAAGTAAATGTATAAGTTTGAAGGACTAAGTGTGTCCCTGACAGGCCACACAGGCATCGCAGTAGCAATTAAAATGAATTTATCGTACAGCCAGCGAAGAGAGGGAAGAGACACAGCAAAGGCAACTCGGTGACACGATTCCAAACATCTGTTTGCTTCTATTTTTGGTAATCATTGCATTCTCACAGTACTTCAGTCAGAGCTGGGGGAAAGCAAGAACACTACCTATTTAAAGCCCAACAAAAAGACCATAATAAAATATTCAGCAAAAGTTCTAACAAAGCTGTATTAAACAGAAAAAGAACCATGGACATTGTTGTCCTGTAAGCGCTTGTCAGGTGTTTCTGATCATATTATTCACTTATGATTGCGCATATTGTACATCAAGTCTCAAGTGTCTTCATTTCTAAAGGCATCAACACTGAGCAGGAGTCTTTCAAGGACAAATCGCATAAAACTTTCCTTTAAAGAAAATGAGGGAAAACCCACGAGAGCAAGAAGTAAATTGTCTTTTAAAACAGGAAGGAGAAATAAACCAGCTACACTAAAATTAGGAAGCCTCACTGATCCCAATTCAGTCAGTTGTTGCCATGATGTCAGAAAATGATGTTGACAGATGCATGGTCCTTAAAGATGTTTTTATTTTTCCTTTGAAACAGTCTCAAACTTGTATAAAAGCTGCAAGAACAGTACAGAGAACGTTTCATCAGCCATTTGGGTGACAATTATCAACATGACATCATCATCCAAATACTTGGGTGTGTATTTCCCCCACACACAACCGTAATACAGCCACCAAAATTAGGGCGCTCACCTTGATCTCATCCAGGTTGTGCCAGGTGTCCTAATTTTGCTCTTTAGAGCACGGTATCCAGACCAGAATCAGGCATCTCGCAGAGTTAAAGGCCTCTTTAATATCATTTAGCCCAGACCTGTTCCTCAGTCTCCCTTTGACCTTCATGACCTTGGCACTTGTGCAGGCTACAGGCGTTGTAGTTTGGACGCCTGCCTTACCCTGCTCAGGCTGCAGCACCACTCAGGACTGCTTCCTGCAAGTGTGCCCCCCTCCTGCACTGAGACCTTCCCGCGCGGGCACGACATGCTGCAGCAGGCCACTGCTCCTGCTCCCTGGGTGGAGGGTCGCACCCATGGCTGAGTTGCTCAGGGAGAGGGATAAAGGGGAAAGAATAGAAGGAAGAGCCTTAAATAGTCTAGAGAAATTGGTATTTGTCTAAACGTGAATTGTAGCAGACAACTTCGAACCCAGTTCATGAAGGCATTCCAAGCAGAATCACAGATTTTAAATACCTTTCCATTTATGTCAGGAATATTTTGAAGGGTTAAAAAGTGGTCATATTTGACTGATTATTCACTCGGTCTTAAACATTTTATGTGTGTACCCCAAAATGATATTCAATCTCTTTTGCCCAAACTGAAAAATGAAATGCGTAAATTGTATAAAACATTTAAAGTAGTTATAGGTTATTATGAAATTTGGGTTTATATTCTGTAGTGATGTATTCAGGGTTCTCCAGAGAAATAGAACCAATTATATATATATACATATAATATGAAATTTATTGAAATGTATGAAATGCATGATAAATTGTCTCGTGTGATGTGGAGGTTGCCGTGTCCCAAGGTGTGCAGGGTGAGTTGGGGAGCACGAGACCGGGGGGGCTGATGGTGTAGCTCCAGTCTGAGCCCAAAGGCCTGAGAACAGGGGAGGCAACGGTAGAGGTTTCTGAAGACCAACAGGCTGGAGACCCAGGAAGAGCCAATGTTTCTGTTCACGTCTGAAGGCAGGAAAAATCTATGTCGCAGCCCAGAGGCGGTCAGGCAGGCTAAGAGTCCTGCTGCCAGGAGGGTCAGCCTTTGTGTTCTACGCAGGCCTTCAGCTGCCTGGATGAAGCCCACCCACGTTAGGGAGTGCAATCTGCTTTACTGTCTACAGATTTAACTATTAACCTCATCCAAAAACAACTTCACAGAGACCCCCAGAATAATGTTTGGCCAAGCACCTGGGCACCTCATGGCCTAGTCAAGTTGACACATAAAATTACCATCACAGATGGCAAACTGCGTGTTCCCACAGGGAGTCCTCCTGTGACTCCTGTAACCACTAGTGCATGCCACCGTCACTTTTTTGTTTTTTACACCTGTAACAAAATTTAGCATCTTAACTGTTTTTAAGTCTGTGGTTCAGGATGTTAAATATATTCACATTGCAATGAGGCAGATCTCCAGAACTTCTTCATCTCGCAAAACTGAAACACGATACCCATTAAACAACAGCTTCCTTTCCCACACCCCTTCCTCAGTCCCAAGGCCACCACTCTGTTTCTCAGGGTCTGACTATGTTAGTTGCCTCACATAAGGGAAATCAGACAGTATTTGTCCTTTTGTGACTGGATTATTTCACTTAACACCCTCCAGGTTCATCCATGTTGTAGCATGTGACAGGATTTTCTTGCTATTTAAGGTTGAATAATACTCCATTGTACCTATACCACATCTTTATCTGTTCATCGATTAGTGAGCATTTAGGTTGTTTCCACCTCTTAGCTATTGTGAATATACTGCTGTGAACATGGGTGTGCAAATATCTCCCAAGACCCTGCTTTCAATTCTCTGGGATAAGTATCCAGAGGTGGCGTTGCTGGACCACGTGGTCTAGCATCACTTTTACCTTGGCTATTGCAGTGGCCTCCTTGCTGCTCTGTCTCCCTGCTTTCACTCTCGTCCCCACCCCCAGGTTCATTGTTTTTTTCATGAGTGTTAGTTATTTTTTAAATATTTAAAACAGATCATGGCAATTTTCTGTTTCAACTTCTCTAATAGAGACTTCCAGTTTCTGCTTGGGAGGTACAGGACTAGAAAGAGTCACTCCCGCCCTTACAGCAATAAGTAAAGCTAAACCTCAAGTTCATGACTTTTCTCAAATTCATCAGGGAGCTGAAGTCTTAAGGTAACCAACTAACCAAATCTGAGGAGAGACTGGTGTCTTCTGGCAGAAACAAGATGCAAGCACTTGCTTACCTGGGGCAGTTACAGCTGCCACGAAGAATCGCACACTTTCGTCTTATAATTTCTTATTTACTTATTAATTTGACTGAGCCGGGTCTTAGTTGCGGCACACAGGATCTTTGTTGCAGCATGTGGGATCATTTAGTTGCGGCATGCGGACTTAGTTGCGGCATGCGTGCGGCATGTAGTTCCTTGACCAGAGATCGAACCCAGGACCCCTGCAGTGGGAGCACGGAGTCTTACCCACTGGACCACCAGGGAAGTTCCCTTTCATCCTTTATAATTTCTGTGTTTCAGAAATACCTCAATTAGAGAATGTTGCATTCAGAAAAATAGTTTTACAGATAAAGTTTAATCCTTTAATTTCCAGAGCTTTTCTTTTATTCATTCTTGGTGGAATTCTTCTAAAATGTGCTATACTTTCCCCTGCTTTATTAAATAGAATATATCAATTGTTTAGGCGGACCACTCTGTACCTCAGGTGCTAGGAGACCATCTGTCCTCAAGGGCCACTGCGCCACGAGGGGCTCTTGAATTCACTTAAAGAGATGCTGCTCTAGCTGTTCTTCTCTTCTTTCAGGAAAGCTCCTCAAGGCTGTCTTTCCAGTGGCACAATGCCTACTGGAAAAGCTACTCTTTGGAAAGAATAAAGCCAAAGTTTAATTACCCTAGCTCTCAGATGGAAGGTACCAGTAGGCTGAGTAGGAATGGACTGGAACCCATCTAGGTCTCTGGTCGGTCTTGTACCCATATGATTGTATCACCTGCCCTTCCAAGGCTTTGAGAGCGTATATGAGGTGCTATGCACCCACTGAACTCCAGAGAGTGTGCCCGCCCATCTAGGTCTGGTTATAAGGCTTTCCTGGCATTCGGCATGATACTGTACTATGAGCTCTTATTTGACAGAGAGCTCTTTGCTTAGGAGCTTTGGATCTCTAGACATCTGTGGATGGACTCCAGTGAATTCAGTTTGAAATTATAGACAGAATTTTGCATGTGCTTATGCCTGACCTTTCTGGAAAGAAGATCCAACAGTTTCATCAGATTCTCAGAAGGAATGAGATGGGCTGAGATGTTACCCGTCTTACTCCTAAGAAAAAGAAGTGATGAAGTGAGGTAATTAGTCTTCTGGACAGGCTCAGTCTGAGATGAGCATCTGGTATAAACAAACTGATAGAATAAATTGCCACGGTTGCCTCTATAGAATGAGCCCCTGAGGCACCCAAGTATGTACATCACACTCAAGCTACAGTGCTCTCTATGCCAGGCCCTGCCCCTGGCTTTCCTTCACTTATATATCATAGACATCATTCTATTTTTGCTTATAGAACTATTCTAATATTTTAAAAATAACCACATAAGATTCCATTGTATGGCTATACCACAATTTATTTATCTGGCACCCCACTGATAGATATTTAGATTTCTTATTCCAGTTATTCTGGGTCATAAGCAATGCTGCCCTGCATATCTTTGTACATATAATTTTGCATAACATATAGCTGTGCCTTTTTGCTCATTCCCTTCCAGTGCAGGATATTATGATTATCTTTTTTTTAAAAAATAAATTTATTTATTTTTGGCTGAGTTGGGTCTTTGTTGCTGTGCGTGGGCTTCTCATTGCGGTGGCTTCTCTTGTTGCGGAGCATGGGCTCTAGGCACGCAGGCTTCAGTAGCTGTGGCTCGAGGGCTCAGTAGTTGTGGCGCACGGGCTTAGTTGCTCCGTGACATGTGGGATCTTCCCAGACAAGGGCTTGAACCCACGTCCCCTGCATTGGCAGGCTGATTCTTAACCGCTGCGCCACCAGGGAAGCCCCTATGATTATCTTTTGAACATTTTCCTGAATGATAAGTGAAGGCTGTGTCTTTTGCCTTTGCTATTTATTTATTCTCTTAAAGATTTTCATATATTTATGGATTATCTGTACTTGTTTCTCCATGAAATGTATGTTAACATTTGCCGCAATAAATGCAGTCTCTATAGTGTTAAGTGTTATAAGTGCAAAGCCCAGAGTGTGAGGGGAATGGCCCCCATTCACCAATGGATGTGTCATTCGATCCTGCTCTAGAACAAATCATCCATGTCTCCGCTTTCTCTTTTCGATTATTTTTTGCAGGATCTGTTAAGGACAGCTGGAAATCTGATAGAAAAGTTAACCGCCAAAAGAGTAACAATGCACTGATGCACTAAGTAAAGATTTATTAATATCCAAAGTGATATTACAGGATATAATAGGAACGGAGCAGATTAGGAGGTAAACAATTCCGTAACATGACCCCAACTGGAGCTGACTGTGAACCTTCTTAAGGAAATGCTCATAGCAATCGTCATATTACTGGTTTTTTTAAAGGTAATGCCTTGTTGTAACCATAGATCTCATTGTATCTATAGAAAAATAATTTTATGTCCTATAATGAAAACTTATAAAACTTCAAAAGGGTTGTGATTTTTAAATGCAAACTTTGAAGTTTTATTCCTCGAGTAATCTCCCTGCAGGTTTTTGGAAGTTGGTCTGTTTCTTTTAATGCAGACTTGCTTCTTTAAGAGTATGTTAAGACTTTGGTTCCCCACGAGGAAGAGGGCTGAGCTCTGTGCCGACGGCGATGCTTGGTAGATCCTATGCTTTTCTGTAAATTTCAGTATGGCTGTGATAAAATCGTGGTTTCAGTTCAGTAAGTATTTGCTTTATGACCTGCACAGCTCAAAGCTAGATGTTTCACCTAATCAGAT